CTCCAACCTACTAGCGATGGCCTCCAACCTACTAGCGATGGCCTCCAGCCTACTAGCGATGGCCTCCATCCTAAGAGAAGATATGTTGAATGAACATTTGATATTTTGAATACCAACAGCTTTCAAGCGGTTTGATTTGGCATTTGTGTTTCTGAACTCAAATACCTCTATCTCTTGCTACTACTTTCAACGACACTTCCAAAAAGCTTTTAGAACGACTTAGTAGTCTTGGGTTTGGAATTCCTTTCATGTTAGTTCGGTATTTTGATTTGATAAGAAGATCGCTTTCTCGGAAAAGTCTAGGTCTTTGCCTCTTGCCCTTAATCATACATGCCTCTTGCAGCATTGCTCATTTAAGATCTTGCAGCCATCGAATCTCCAGGTGTGGCCGCGATCCTGGAACCTGCTTGACGATGCTTGGAACAAAGGCAGCCATCACTGCTATCACCCGGCTATCCCGTCCTATCAGCGAGAATGCCAGAGCTGCTTTGTTTCCTCGCCAGATTACCAAGATTTGAAGCCATTCGGTGGGAAGAGCAGGTTTTGAACAATTACTTCGCAGTGTTGGAAGGATCACTACACTTTTGCATCTTAAGAATTAAGATGCCGATAAAAGGGAAAGAAATAAGAACACCACAAAGCATATTGGTCCCACTAATTAGATCAAAGAAAAAGACATGAAGAACCAAGACAATAGACAAGAACTATGCAATAGATGAGAACATATTGAAACAATAGACAATGACAAACATATCTGGTTTTCTTCTCCGCGAGGCATTGAAGTGGACACCATTTGTGGCAACGCCGCCTTGTCGCCACAAAGAACTTGGCCAAAGGCGGCACAGGTGCTTCGGCAGCTCCAGGCGCGACTTTGTGCTTCTCACTGGCCTTGCATTTGGTTGTATCTGGTTCTAAGGCATTCTTTCAAAAACTGCCGGTGAAACCATGTGTCATCTACCCATCCAGGTACAAGGCTTGCGGCCAAATAGCAGCACCACTGCAACATTCCTGAGCCAATTGGGCGAGCATTCACTTTGGGACACTTTGGCGATCA